GGATGGTAGATGCATCCTCGTTAGGCGCTGCTGACTACAGCGCCGCCACTGCTTTCTTTAGAGCAGATACGGGAGAGGCACCTTAGCAGTGGTGGCGGCAAGAAGCCAGATTAGACAGAAGCAACTTTAAAATGGTCTTTCGTTTGTCCCGAGGGGTTTGCAAGCCAGGCATAGCTCGTTACCAGCGCTTTGAGCTCGGGAGCACTGCACGGCAGCAGCAGCGATGGTCACAGCAGCGACAGCAACAACCGAAGTGGCATCAGCAGCAGGTGCTGCGGAATGTGCATCGGCAGAACGTATTGATGTCCACCGAAGCTGTGCTACGGCTGAACCTGCAGCAGCCCGAAGTTCCAGCGGGGACGTCTATCAGAAGCAGCAATGACGGCAGCAGTAGGGGCGAAGGCAGCAGCTGCAGCCGCTCCTGCTACAGTAGCCTCCACCAGGGGCCTGCTGCAGCCTTTCAGGCTACCTTCAGTCGCCCTCGGCGTTGCAGTGCAGTTCATTTAGAGACGGTATCTTCAGCAGCAGTTGGGGGGCGCCTGCTGCAGAGGGCGTCGACGAGTTCTGCTGCGGCTGTTTCTGTATTGGACAGCAGCAGCAGTGGCTTATGCAGGTGCTGCGTCAGCTGCAGAAGAGACGGCAGGAAGGTTATTTTTCACGACTTGGCGGTTACCACGAGTCATAGGGGCGTTTCACAGATAACTCACCTCCTAGTGCAGCAGAGGCAGCAGCGGCAGGGGCAGCAACAGCAGCAGGAAGGGAGTTTGTGGTGGGAGGATGCAGATACGGAAGGCCAAATATATGCCTCCGCTACTTCATCCGCTTGTGTTAAACTTTATCGCACATCTGTGCAGGAGCAGGAACAGCAGCAGCAACAGCACCAGCAGAAGAAGCAACAACATCATCACAACGCGGACGGTGTCGGGGCTACGGAGCGACCGGGTTGGAACCTGGCAAAAGCAGCAGATGCAGCCGGCACTGCTGCTGCTGTGGCTTCACCTGATCACACCACTCGCCAGCCGAAGATATCAGCACCACCCAAGGCAGCTGCAGCAGGAGCAAAAGCGGCAGGATTAGCGACGAGAGAGGTTTCTCTGTTTCTGCTGAGTACTCCTCTCACCTCAGAAGAACGCCACGCACTGGTTTCCCTTTGGCGGCGTCTGTCGTCTGCGCATTCCCTTCTCAAGTTGCCCCATGGCGCATCCGCGGGGCCCCCTCTTGCTGCCTTCCTGGAGGCTCGGTGGGGGCTCCCGGCTTCGTTGCTTTCAGCAGTACACACGCAGCGGGCCTTCTTCCGCTGGCTCTACAGTGCACTACAGCGACACCAGGGGCAGCAGTACCTGCGCGTGCAGCAGGAGTCGCATCAACAACAACAGCTGCAACAGCAAGAGCAGGAATGCGCACACCAGCCACAGCAGCACCATGAAACGAGTAACCTGGACAAGCTGCAGGCTGAGGCTTTCAATGATTTGCTGCGGTCGATAAGAGGTCAGTTCGACCTCCACGAAGCAGCAGAAGCCAGGAGGGCGAAGCAGCAGCAGCAACAGCAGTCGTACGAGAGGCTGCAAGCGCTGCTGGAACAGTGGAAGAGGGCGGTGCGAGGCTTTGAAGAAAAAGACCTGCTAAACAGCACTTACCAACTGGTGAGTTGTCGAGCCACTCGACTCAATGTAGAGCCGCAGACTTACAATCCAGACTAAGCAGCTCGCGCTTGACACCTTTGACGTTGTGCCGTTTTATGCAGATTCTCGAAGTCTGTGCTGCAGTTGATGGGCCTCCAGGGGCCCCTCCGGGGACCCCTGGCAGTCTGAAAGACCCCACAGCCTCTCCTCTGCTCCCTCCTGCAGCAGGCCCGTTGCTTGCTCTCTATCGAATATACCTGGCGAGAGGTGGCGTCTCTGCTGTTATCTCGTACAAGAATATCTTGAAGCTTGTGGTGAGTTAGATGAGAGTCTTCTGCTGTTGTTGCTGCTGCTTCTTGGGACGGCTGCGCTGCTGAAGCAGCTGTCACGCGTCTTTCTGAACATTACGGTGTGCGTCTGCCTGCCACTACAGGACCTGACGGCACCTGAGCTTTGGTTTCCCGTCGCTCGGCAACAGCAGCGTCGGGTTTCTCTTTCCCTGGGGCCTCCGAACAGTGGGAAGACCAGGGGGGCGCTTG